GGGCGCAAAAATGTAAAGGGGGTGCCGATCCCGCGCCGAATTTTGAAAGTGGGTGGGAAGAAACGCATTCGAAAAAATATAGTTACTTCCGCCAAGAAAAGATGTGTTTATACGCTTATAAACAGACTAAGCGCATAGGCGAGAAAGTGGTATATTAAATTAAGACTATTTTGTCTAACCGCATTTGCTAATTTGCTACCTCACGGCTCACACGAAATCGTTCATATAGAAACATGACATAATCAGTGATCACACGCAATGTCTCATTACCGGAATATTGATCAGGTTTCGAAGCGATCACGGGAATTATGAGTAATGTAAGTAATGAAATAATGATGAAACGAGCCCTTTTGGCAGCCAGGCAAGGAAACCTTAAAATGCATATGCGTGGGTTCTGTGTGTTATTGTATAAAAGAGCTGTACGTTGTAAATGTATTCAGATCAGTAGAGAATAGAATTGGGATTAGATTAATTGCTGGAGGTAGTTAGCATATTGCCCAATTTAAGTACTACTACTTTACTCTAACCAAATTGCAAATTTCGACGTTATAATGCCGTTTCCTAACCATTAGATTTCCGTCAAATCTTCCCCCAAAGTCCAGGAAATGGCATTTCAGAGACTCTAAATTCAAAAATTTTCCTGGCGCCCATGTCCCCGGACACCCCTAGACAAACCTCACACCTGCAGCGCTCGGCTCGTGCCTTCGGCCCTCGTTTACCAGGCGTCACATTATAGGGCGCATATTGGTTGCCAGCCCACTGCCCCCCCCCAGAAAAATAGTACCCAGCACGCCACTGTGTTGCATGCGGAATATACTATTTTGCGAAATATGTTACCACATATGCTTCGGTTTGAACGCGGTTACGTTTAAAAGAGAAATGAGTGCGCGGTTTGCGGTTAAAATTTGAAAAACAGCGCGGTTTTCGGAGATGCGTACCCCCTATAATAGGCCCCCTGCATAAACTGGCGATCTTCTTCAAGCATTTTTCTAATTCTGTCTAGTTTTGACAAAATTTCTCTTTCACTTTCATGGGAAAGCTTATGATCTTTTTTCAGAATTTTTTCAAGTCGGTTTACTTTTAACACCAGTTCACTTTCATTCCATTCAGTTCTCACACGATTCACTATTTCACTTCCTTCTCTCCACATTCCTCAGCCTTCAATCTGTCAATTTTCACTTGATTCATGCCCAAACTACGTAAAGCCAAACTAACCTCTACCCAATGAGCCTCAAAATCTAACCTACTAACACCCGTTTCTGGGACATGACCAAAGAAATTATTGCGAAAGAACTTAATACGAACAATGTTCGCTTCACAAGAATTGTCGGTGGAACATGGCATAACATTCCATCCTGTACTAGGAGGAGATAGACCACAAATGTTTCTTAACAGAATAACAAGTAATGTTATATCAAATTCCTGAATATTTGGAATTCTAGGGGGAGGTGGGTGCATTTTATCCCATTGTGGTTGCGTGATTATTTTTCTTTTGTTAAAAAGAGTGAGAAGCGCACGGTAATGAGTAGACAAAACAGCATGCAAATCACCTGAGTGTATGTTCTGGACGATGTTTCTCAATACCTCTGTTCCTCCATCAATAATCAATCTCATCAACTTAAAGCCATAGATCTTTTCTTCAAAACTATCGAGAACTGTTGACGCCATGACAACTACCTATTGTGATTAAAATACAATGAAATCTGGATAATTGTATTAATAAAGATGACATGGCATATAGTTTATATTTTAGAATTCCGGTAATAACTCAATTTTTCTGTATCGGTCTTAACACAGATCGATATATGATGATTTATCTATTAAAAATATATTTCCAATCTAAATATCGATTTTCTGTGCCTCAAATAATTTACTTCTGGTGTTTTATGATCGTTTAATAATGTCCAACCCAACTAGTATTAAGCTGCCAATCATTTTGTGGTTTCTTGAATTTGTTGGGTTTTTTTCGCTAAGAGTGGACACGTTGCTGTTCCACCCATTTGGAAGGAAACACTTCAGTGGTTGGAGCATAATGTTTCACATATAGCCACACTATTCTAAGCTGGATTTACTACCATGCATTTCTTGGAGTTGTAAAATATTTCTGGAATTGTAAAGGAAATTACTGAAGTCGTTAGTTTAATATTTACTTCTATTTTAAACAAAAGAGCAAAACTGCATGTGCTGTCTATTAAGCCCCGTTTACACTACGCTCAATTTTTGGTACGGCACGGATAACCAAAACCCAAGAACCAAAAAGTGGTACGGTACCAAAAATTGAGCGTAGTGTAAGCGGAGCTTTAATTTATCATATCAATTAATCATACAACTTTTGCTCAGTACATCAACGGCAACAACGCATAATAGGCCGTTTGCTGTGACCTCGAAAATTGCCTAGAAAAGATTTTCATTAGCATGTCTTGGAACTGAAATATTTTTATGGGAAGTAACACTTTCAAACACGCTGAGTTCAAATCCGAAAACTTCCCGCACCGCGTAGACCCGCAGTTTTCTCACAAACTGCTATTTTATCTTCGCTAATTTCACAACAATTTTTTTCATTGTTCAACGACACGGATGGATGAAGACACACGATTGCATAACTCAAAATGACTAATTCCTATGAACCAGTCTCTACATTGAACAAAAGACCGGTTTTGCTCGAATTATTTTGAGTTATGTAATTTTAAGCGTGTTGGACG